TGGTTCGGAGAATAAAATTCCAACCCTGCGTGACCTCATTGGAAGCTGACGAACTCTCTCTAACCAACAGAAGGCCCACGGGAATCCCGGCCTAGTTCTTTCCAGGCCCAGATAAACTAAACCGAGTTTGGGCCAAGATCTTGGGGTGGAATTGGGCCCAGAAAGAGCCCAAACCATTCAAACTCGCGAATTTAAATAACCAAACAAATTTAGAAAGACTTTTGAAACTTCGGAGTAGCTATGAATTGAAGTAACCTACGTGTCATGCAATTGACAAGTTCGATGCAAATTTGTTGAACCTATTTTTTTTCCTTTTTTTTTTTCAAAAAACGTACATCGTGTCCCGTGTTAAAAAATCTACAATTCCAATCACGGAATCACCCCCTTAAACTTGTTAGCAAACACGAAAAACAAAACAGAAAAAAAAAATAAGCAGGAGTTGGAGTTTAAATCTCTGAACCCTATCCATGACCTCATTTGAGAAGGCCCACGTCTTGTATAGTTTAACCCCATCCACGGTTAAGGATAATGACTTCAAACATGGCCAGCTCCTATAGTGTGACGGGCGGTGTGTACAAGGCCCGGGAACGGATTCGCCGCCGTATGGCTGACCGGCGATTACTAGCGATTCCTGCTTCATGCAGGCGAGTTGCAGCCTGCAATCCGAACTGAGGACGGGTTTTTGGAGTTAGCTCACCCTCGCGAGATCGCGACCCTTTGTCCCGCCCATTGTAGCACGTGTGTCGCCTAGGGCATAAGGGGCATGATAACTTGGCCTCATCCTCTACTTCCTCCGGCTTAACACCGGCGGGCTGTTCAGGGTTCCAAACTCATAGTGGCAACTTAACACGAGGGTTGCGCTCGTTGCGAGACTTAACCCAACACCTTACGGCACGAGCTGACGACAGCCATGCACCACTTGTGTCCGCGTTCCCGAGGGCACCCCTCTCTTTCAAGAGGATTCGCGGCATGTCAAGCCCTGGTAAGGTTCTTCTCTTTGCATCGAATTAAACCACATGCTCCACCGCTTCTGCGGGCTCCCGTCAATTCCTTTGAGTTTCATTCTTGCGAACGTACTCCCCAGGCGGGATACTTAACGCATGTAACGCCCCGATTTTCGTTCGGGATTAAAAATCATTTAATAATGCATTTCCTAGAAATTAAATAAAAAGTTAAGCAATTTATCCAAGTGAATTATTGGGAGAATTAAAATTTTCCCTTTAAAAATTATTGGCCGGGAATATTTTGTAATATTCTTTGTGCCCTAAAATACTCTCCGGAATTTTCCGTGAATTTTCGGAGCTCGAGAAATAGTTTTAATAGCACAAAGATCATTGCATCAATTAAAATAAAACGAAAACAAATAAAATCCTCCTTTTCCTCTTCTTGGGCCATCGGCCCAGTCCACCCCGCCGCGCGCGCCCTCCTCCTTGTGGGCCGGCCCAAGCCGCCCCTCCCTCTCTCCCCGGGACGCCGACAGGTGGGCCCCACCTGTCGGACCCGTCCCCTTCCTCCAGCCGGCGCCGCCGCGCCCGCAACCGCCGCCGCGTCCACGCCTCCACCTTCTCCGGGCCACGTCAGCCACGTCCGTGTGTGCGCCGCGTCCCCCATGCCCACTCCCCTCTCTCTCCCGCCCGCGCCCCGCGCCCGAGATGGCCGGGATTCGATTTTCGAATCCCGCCTCTCTCTCCTCCCCCACTTCCCCACGTTGGCCGACGATTCCCGCCTCTCCCGGCCACGTCCGGCCCTCCCCTCCCCTATTTAAGCTTCCCCGTCGCTCCCTCTCGCTTTTTCCCCTTCTCGCCGAACTCCCTCGTGCTCCCCATCGCCCCCGCGCCGTGCAACCACTCGCCGCCGCCGTTTTCGCTACTCCGGCCGCCGCTAGCCGCCGCTAGGGTCGCCGCCGCACCGCGCCGTCGCCGCCGTCGGGTTCGCGAGGCTAAGCTCCACCCCGGCCGCCCCTTCCCCGTCGAGTTTCGTCGCCGGAATTCGCATCCCCTCGCGCTCCGGTGAGTTCAACTGCTACCGCCGCTTTCGGCCATGAATACCGGTCGCCGTGGTTCATCTCCCTCCCTCTAATCTCTCTCTTCTCCTTCCTTAGGGCACCCCGAATCCCGTCCGCCGGTGGCCGTCGTCCTCCCGTGGCTCGCCGTCGCCGTTCGCCATCGTCTTCCTCCGCGCCGGCCACCCTCGGTGAGGCATCCTCTCCCTTCTATTCCCCTCCCTCTCCCTCCTAGCCGCCGCTTTAGCGCCGCCGCCCGTTAGCCGTCGCTTTAGCACCACCGCCCGTCGGCGCCGCCTTTGCGCCGCCGTCTCCGTCGCCGGTTGCCGTCGCCGGCAACGCGTGTGCGCGCGCCGTCGCCGTCGCCGTGGCCGCTTGGCCGGTCTTGAGCCGAGCCGGGTCGCCACCGCCCGTCCGATCGACCCCGAGGGCGATCTGGGCCGTCGGTCCCGTGGACCGGCGGTGGACCACCCGCGTGGTCCCGGTCCACGGTGAACC